CGAAATAAATTATTTATCTGTGGCATGTCTCCAGTCAATCCCTATGTAGTTATCTGGCAGCAGCGCTGCGTTTATCTCGTGTATGGATGTAGGCAGTTCACCTTCAGATCAGCGTTGTGTTCTGACAGTGTCTCGGTTGTTTTGATGTGGCCCCGAGTGTGATGTGAATTTGAATGTGATGTGCGCTAAGAGTGGTCTGCCAGAGGGAGAGTGAGGCACACTGTCACAGACTGATGATTTAAATCTGTTTCCGTCCACTCCCATTTAGGCAGTTAAATCACACACGTACAGTACACTGCCTTTAAGTGACTGAAATCAGTGATGGTCATTCTAGCCAGTCCATAGACAACACGCTACTCAGTGATTCATCGTAAAGAAAGCTTCTGAATTCCCATTGCAAATGATGTTAATCTATCCAACATGCTCTCCTGAGAATTTAGTTGCATTTCTCACAAAAAAGGAATGTCGGGCGGTAGCCCTGAGCTCAGTCAGTCTTAACTCTGCCACACAGGCGTTAACAAGAATCTGAACCAACATAAACAACAACCAAAAAAATATTCTGCTTTATCTTCACGACTCTCTCAAGGTTAAGCTGAAGTCTCGCCGCTTTGTTGACTCTTCCTTCTCTCAACGCCCTTTGTTAAGTTGCCCCTTCTTTTGGAATAAGCGTGAGTGCAACTGATGCCTCTGAGCTGTGGCAATCCATGCAGCACAAAAAGCGTCTTTGCTTGCCTTTCACGCCCGAGGGCTGAGCTCCAATCCAGCCAGCAGGTTTTCTCGAAGGCATTCTGTTCACCAAACTTCCCCTCCTGCAGTCTTTTCCTACATTCTCAGCTCTGGTCCTAGCATCACACTCCCTTGGCGCGAAACATTGACTCGCCAGTCAGTCACAGGGCACATATAGAGACGGACAACCATTCACACTCATATTAACGCCGTCACTGAGTGGGAATTGAATCCATGCTGTCCGCACCGAAGTGCACCTCTACACTACTATGGGTCTAGCTACTGAAATTATAGTTTGGGGGATCAAAAGTGTCATCCCAGCTGACTTGAGACTGGTCCTCAGCAATAGCAGGGCACATATACAAAGTACAAGTCGACAAAAAGCCATTTACATTCACCCCTATGGACATTTTATTCTTTAATGAAACAGTGATAGGCTAGCTCTCTTTGGCTCACACAAAAATTACATGTTGACGTGTCACTGTGACCTTTTCTCCTTGCTTGACCTGCCTTATCTATCTGCACTCTTGCACATTTGCGCAGTCACACAATGAAAGCAAACAAGACATTGTTGAGGTTATACTGCGCTCCTACGTGCGTGTGGCTAAGACAGTGTCAGACAAATCTTCTGCATCTGGCAGAAAAACATTTTTCAGCCATGTGTCGATCTTTCTGGAATCCATAAAATAGGTGAACTGAAAATAATATGAGCATTAGAGGACCGGTGAACGTTTCCCCAGAACCTTTCAGCAACCCTGTAGGTTTTGGGAACGAGGGATGAAGATGCAGTACATTGAGAAAAGCCACACACGCACAGGGAGAATATGCAAATTCAACTCAGGAGATGAGAATTGAACCATTGACCTCTTAACTTTGAGGCAGTTGAGCTGAGCCCTAAAGACACAGAGTTTCCCTCAAAATCATTGAGATAATAATCCTTGTGTGTTTAATAGTCTTGACACAAACTTACAAATGTTTCCTCTTTTCCCCAGTGAATGATTCATCAGAAGTCAGGCAAATGCAGGATGTGGGTATTTATCAAGGTTTCCTCATTCAAATTTGGATTGTTTGGCCTCGATGAAGCTGCAGTTTAAATAATGGGACCTTTTTGTTTTGTCCCCCCGCTGTCAAAGCATCAGGATGTTTCTCTAAATGTGCTTTTTGAGCCTTTTTTTTCCATCCTCCCTCCCAGTGTTGTTACACAAACGGGTTAAAACCTCTGTTCCATAGCCTGCAACGCTCCTTGATTATTTACTGAAGCTATTCATTACAGCTTTACACATTTTGTTCTTAAAATAACAGAACGGATATGTGATTGCAGCACATAAATGTTACACAATCACTTTGCCCTGAGCTGTTTGCATGATGCTGTGGGTTAACTTCACACCAAGTGAGGTGGAGAGCAGTTTCACCTTGGAGGAAGAAGGAAAGGCAAACCAGCCGTCCCTCCATCTGTAAAAGTCATGCTTATACTGTAGTGTTTAAAACCTGCGTATGTATTTTATTTTCAACACTTTTTTTTTTCATGGACCACTAATCAATAACTTATAACTATAGAGTCAGACAGCGAAGCATTTATGTGTTTTAATCAAAGTTTGTGTTTGTCATTCTTCTCAATTACAATTTTGTAATTTATGGGTCCAACATTTTTATTTAAAAAAAAAGTCTACACTGCTAAGTCCACAGGCGAGAGAAATTGTTTTATTTGGCATTTGTAGATGAATTTATTTTCTTTTTTTGTCTGAGTCCAAATGGTTTTGTCCAACCTGTCCCAGACATCATTTCAATCTCACATCATTCTGCATAAACTATAATATAGCCTTATAACATGCACGCACGCACAAACCAAAACCTTTTGTTCCTCACTTTTCTCTTCTTTTTCCGTTTGTTTTTTTTAGGATGGTATTTAGTTTGTTTTTTTTAGTTCATTTAGTTGTTTGTTTTTTTTTTGTCTTTTACGTATCACCCCCACTCAAATGTCCTCTTATTTGTACATTACCACACGTTAAGATTTGTCTTGCTGAGTCGTATTATTTATTTATTTATTTTTTGGGAGGGGGGGCATTTGTGTTGCAGTAGGAGCTTTAGCAGAAAAGAGATCCTTATATTTTGCTATTATGTCTGGCTCTCAAAAAGATTATGTGCATTGCTATTGTTTGCCTTTTCCTCATCAGAGTGCATGCATTGACTGCAGAAACAGACAGTGTGGTTCAGACAAAGAAACAAATACACAGCTCAACATTTTTAATAGATATAATCGCAAGTAGGGCTGGGCATTATGGTTGAAGTGTATCACGATATAAGTATTTTATCTCATTTGATATTGAAATATATGGAATAATATACATTTTTACTCTTCAAAATAATGATCCAGAAGAAAAAGACTGAATTTATTTTATTTTTTCTGAATAATATTTCTATTGGTATTGATCATTTGTCTATCGCAATACATACATTGATATTTAATCATTGCCCGGCCCTAATAACAAATTATAATAGGCATCTTAATAGTCCATTCTTGGTGGAGTTGGTATTTGTTTTGTTTTGTTTTTTTAATTAAGGAATGATTGGAAACAAGTGTATGGCTGCGTAGGTTTCACCTCGCCTGTTTTCAGTCATTACTTCGAATCAAGTGCAAAAGTTAAACCTACGTTGAATATTTGTATTGTGGAGGACATTGTACTCTGTGGCACTGACATAATAGAATTCACACGGGTAAATACAGTGTTAAGAACTCAAGAAAGGTTGCAAGTTACTCTGCAGATTACCGCAACAAAAGGTATTCTGTTGGAGTTGGCTATAATAGTATCATCAACAATGTTACGTGCAGCTTAGCCCGTGCAGTAATAATAATACTGTCAATGTTTGTCGGAGTCACAAATCTCCTGATAAATCCCCCCGGCAGGATCATTTTAATGCAAAGCAGTGAACATTTGTATCCAAACCTGTTGACACTGATCGGCATTTTGATTTCTGTTCAGTCCCTCCTCCTTATCAACATATCAGAACCCCTTTTTTTCCTGAGCATGAACACGTGAAATTAATTTGAATGAGCTTTGCAAACTGAAAACTGTTGACATGAATCAGAGAGACAGCCAGCGGGGGACTGTATGGTGCTGGTATTGTTCCTTCCTGGCCTTGCTTGCACGGATGCTTCGCCGTTAAACGCGAGTGCCCTGAGGTGGGAGAAGAGGAGTAATCATCAAACATCAATGTGCATTTATAACCTTCTCCAGTCGTCCTTTAGACACATGCAAAACATGCAAGATGTAGCTTTCGGCGCTGCTACCACTGCTAAAGTAAACTTAAGAGGTACCAATTCAGGGCTGTGAAACTTGTTTTTATTGCAAACCAAATTGTCGTTAAACTTGTTTTAAAATCTTTTTTTTTTTTTTTTTGCTGTAGTGACAAGCCAAACATCCGAACAGTCCATTTCTTCAATAAAATACCAACAGCAACAGAAAATTTTGATGGCAACATAATGTATTTACATTGAACGTAACAATTTTATATTTGATGAACTTTACAGACTAATCGTACACTATTTAGCAGTAGTAGTAGTAGTATTTAGTAGTGTGTGCGTGCCTGTATGTGTGCCGTGTACGAGTGTGTGTGTGTGTGTGTGTGTGTGTGTGTGTGTGTGTGTGTGTGTGTTTGTGTGTTTACATACATTACGTCATTGTTTCTACTTCTAAATTTAAATAACTTCAGCCATCTTTTCTCTCTTTTCTGACACTCTTTGAAGTAGATTTAATGGGAGAAACGCTTTGATCAATCACAAGCTGCTTGGGTCACATTTCAGCGTGTCCGCCAAGTTCTAGCAGCTTTAACATTGTTATGACACACAGTTATCTCAGCCAACACGGATCCAATGCTGACATCTGCTGCTTTTTCACCCATTCACATCGACAGCAATTGACCTCGACGACGCTCCTCGTTAGAGTTCCTGTTGGTGGAATTTCACATCAATAGGCCTCAGAGGAAAAAAATGGACACAATTTATTTGAACGTACATGCTCTACTGTTCAGTTGTATTTAACTTTGGGCCTCCTAAAATATGTGACAAGGCAGATATGCCCCCCAGACCTTGAAAATTGTACACCAGTGTTTTCTCCTGATGCGAGATTCATTTTGCATTTTGTTTCACTTTGTTTTAAGATACCTGAGCACAAATGCAGTAAAACCAGCTTTTTATAGTAAATAAGCATTGAAACATGTGTAATATTGCCTTTTGTGAATATTTCTATAATTCCTTGACTGTGTGATGTCATCAGACTGGGACGGCCCGGGGTTGACTGCTTTTGTCAGCACGAGAGCGGTGCAGCCGTTCTTCAACTTCAGTTCCTTATCAATGAGGTAAGAGAACTACTTTGTCAAAGCATCATGACACCTGTCTATTACTTCTGGATGGTTTGGGTGGAGTTTCAATCAAATATGGACGATGAGTTCAAACTATTCCTAAAAAAAATATCTTGGTTGGATAATGAATGGGTGTATCAATACTTTTGTCCAATCTGTACATAAACAAATGCGTCTGAATATTTATTTTTACATGAAATGGTGTAAAACTAGTCACAATTTGCTCCATTGGGTCATGTTTATGAATGTACACAGTATACATAAACAGTATAGTACATAAAACACACACTTGTGTTTTATACAGACATGTGAAACAATATTGTTGTTTGAATAAAATAAAACAAGACTGCCGGGAGCAGTTATCCAAATGTGGTTAGCGTTAAGATGCGATCAATAGAATTATTGTTGACCATATGATTAACGCAGGTGTTCACCTCATCGTTGATGTATGTCAATGCCCCGCTCTTGCATTCAAGTGTGTGGGCTGCGGCTGCCCTGCTCATGCTTTGCTTTCTCAGAGTTTCCTCTTGACATTCAGTCTGATAGATTGACTTCATCGATTAGCGCAAATTGGCCACTTTAAAAGGCACTGTCGAATAGCAATATGAACCTTCACTGCGTCACACAAACAGGTTGTCAATCATCCATAAATGAATGCAACTCTCGCGCCGCCGCGGCTCTCTCTCTCGTCCATGAGCTGAAACATTAGGCAGAATAGCAATTATGATCAGAGGTTGTGTTGTGCAGGATATTATTAGACTAATTATGTTGTTTGTTTGGCTGCTTTGAATGTATTATTTCGCCGAATGAATAATACAGTGAAAAGAGAAAGACTGGTAGTCAAATGAATGCGCGGTATAATCAGGTGTACGTTATTTACTTTCTCGTTTACCGCACTGTTAACAACATCTGTTTCAAAAGATATCTCAAATAATAACACAAATCGCTTTTCATAAAAGGCTTAATTAAAAAGACTGCAGTTCATTGAGGAATAATGAGGGTTGTGTCCAATTCATAATTCATAACGTGTTTGTCGTACCTCCAGTCACCACAGGTCAGTTTCATTTGCATGTTTGTAAAAGGACTTTGGGTCACGAACACTTGTATCACTTGGATGAAGCTACACAAGGCCTTCGGATTATCAGAGCAATTGATTTCGTAGTTTATCAATAAATCTGCGTCTTGTTTTCATTCATCTTTTTCTCATAGATAAATGTAAATGCGTTTGGCTCACACCCTCATTTTTCTCAGCAGCCATCTCTTTAATTCAAATCACAGCTTGGATGATGATGTACAAAACAATTTGTGGCACATAGACGATTTGGCACGAGTGCAGAATGGTTCCCTGGAAAGCACGTTTTATTTGGGCAAAAAAGTATATTGTAGAACAACTGTTATTTTATTCGAAACACCACAAGAAAGTCAAACAGATACAAATAATAGTTAAAAGTTAGAGAACAAGAGCAGAGATGTTCGTCGAAAGCAAGGAGAAGCACCCGTGAGAGCAACAGGGGATAAATCCTTCACGAAATCAAATATTGTACCGGTACAAAAAACAAAAAAATCTGTACTTCACTGGACATGATCACTGGACATGACAGCATATCATAGGTTTACTTTTTTTTTTTTACCTTTATGGATGATATTATCAATTTAACTAACTTGCTGCTTAGTGTGTTATTGGACCTAAAATATATCAAATTGTAATTTGTTTGTCAATTGTTGTGTAATCTATTCCTGATCAGTGTCATTTTGCTTGTTTTGTTGCCACTTTTTGTCAGTCACTTCATTTCTTTTTGCTGTTGTCCTTCTTCCGAAATAAATGTCAAAAAATCTTGAAATCTACTAAAAGAGAAAAAAAAAAGTTTTTTTCAATTTACCGGATGCAGCTCCACTAAAATAAAAGCATCTCTTTTTTTAAATGAGTTGAAGATTATGTAGATGATTCATGTGAAGAATGCGGTGGCCTGTGGCCAGTGAGCTGATAATATAAAACCAAAATTAATAAGAGGAAAAAGCTGCTTTACACTTTTTAATACCGAGATTACATTTTTAATCTAATACTAATTCTTCCTTGGGCTCCAGTCTTATAAGCCTTCGAAGAGGTTCACCGTGGGAGTTTCACTGTAAATACAATCTGTTATGCCTTGAACAAGGGTTGAGCATCTTACATTTTTTGCAAGTAATTATTAGTTTTTGCTTTAGTTTGCTTTAGTTTTTGATAACATCTTTGCTTTCTGTTGTCCTGCAACCCTGAACAAGTGTGATATAAAAAAACAACGGATGGATGGATGTATTGACGCTAATGGTCCTTAGAGACCTTAGATACAAGTGACCTGACTTGCGAGTTTTTCAAGATACGAGCCGTCAGTTAGCAATTCCTTTGTTTTGACTTATGAGCGAAAATTTCAGATCAGCAGCGTTTGAGCTTGGCAGACAGTGAACAAATCTTCAAAAAAGAGGCTTCAGTCTGTTTCGTACCACTCTCAGTTGGTGTTTATTGTCCAACTAAATATAAAACAAAGACAAGTACACGTTGTGTATTGAAAACAACCATATAACTTTGCCTTTGAGTCTGATAACACGTAATGGGAAATGCCATAGATGGGCTAACAAATACCATCTATTTGGCTGTATTTGAATGCATTAAGATAAGATAAGAAAACCTTTATTTGTCTCACAATGGACAAATTCGCAGCAAGAAATAAGAAACATATATTTGACCATAAATGTGAAGCAACACATGTAGACAGACAGCATAACAATACGTACAGCCACATTTTCTTTATCCTCTGGAAAGAAAGGACTAATATTACTGCAGATTATCTGAGTCACATAAAGTAGTCGAGTGAAACTTTTCAACATGTATATGCATGACTGTACGATACTGCCTTGCAGTGGTCGTGTCACACACACACCAGAAGGAGCAGTGAATTAATCATGATGCACTGTTCACGTTTTTACATTCCATTTAATTATGTCATTACTTTGTGATTTTATAAAGAACAATTACAGAGAGCTAATTTTCTGAGTAAAACAGATTACAAATACATTTGTTGTGTTTTTGAGGGAGGCCGCAAAGCATGAATGGTGTTTCAATTTATCTCAATGGTGAAAGGTGATCCGTTACACAAACTTGGTCACGGAAAAGATATTAATGGCATATCTTAAGGCTCTACTATGCTTATTCCCCCTTCTCGAATCATACAGTGCTAGTCAATTTTTCACTTTTTTTAAACTTTCAACCTTTTAAATCAACTTTTTTTTTTATTTATTTTTTTTTTTACACTGACACAGCAGTTGTGAAAAGGTACTGAGAGAAATTATATTCCAGAATTCTTCTGTACTTGATTATTTGCTCAAGTTTTAAATTATTATTATTTTTTTTTAAATTGCCTTACAAACAGGGTGCGTTAGTCACAGCCTGCGCAGATGACACGTTACACTTGTGGAATCTTCGTCAGAGGCGACCGGCTATCCTGCATTCACTCAAGTTCAACAGAGAAAGGTGAGCACCTCTCCTTAGACACACAAGTTGTGATAGGCTCCAGCTAACCTGCAATCCTAATGAGGACAAATGGATGATGGATGGAACATAACTCGCACTTACTTTAAAATGGATCAAATTTCACATAATAGTACAATAACAATTTTGTTGAAAGTCCCCCCCCCCCCACACACACACAAAATAGCTCTCGGTGGGATGCTGAGAAGCAGCAGATTCCTATTTTTTCTCTATCATCAAACTTTAATGGCAAACAATGGCTTTTATGTAGCAATATTGAATTTGAAAACAGGGTCAACGCTAAGAAAAAGTAAACTCAGAAGGAAAAAGCAGAAAAATAATGGCTCAGATGCCTCAGGTGGTTGACAATGGAGCAATCCTCTCTGCGGCAAACACATTTCACAACACGACTCCTGCTTGTTCAAACTGAAGATTGATTGCTTGACTTATTGATTTTGCTGAACAGCAACTCAAGAAGACTGTTGAATCAACATGGTTATTTTCCAACTGAATGAAGGTAGAATTATATGAACTCGAATGTGATTTCTAAGGCTAAACTCTAACAAGGTGTTCAAGTTTCCATTTACCCGTTGTCCCCCCCCGCTTATCTCGTGTTGAGCCACGTGAAGCCTGTCCTTGCTGACATTGCACGAGAGGCGAGGTAACCTGTGAAGGACTAATGAACTCTCCAGGGTGACCCCACCTCCCATCCGATGTCAGCTGTGATAGGCTCTGACTCCCCGCAACCCCGAAGACCGTAATAGTGGCGCAGATGATGAATGGCTACTTCTCCACACTGCACTAAGAGCAAGCACTTGGCAACCGTGACAAGGAAAATAGCTTAGTGGATGAACATGCATCAACCTTGACCAGAGAGTGCCAACGAGAAGCACAGTGAGAGCTGAAGGGGTTACAAAAAAACGAAATGACTGTATGAGAAGAGGCAGTAGGTTCTTCAACTGTTTTCACAGAGCCTCTGGTCTTTGAAGCACTGTTCTACCCGTTTTCTCTCCCGCTTACCAGGATAAGATATATTACAATCATAAAATGTATTAACATTGTATTCCTGCAAAATAATCCAATCCTTACAACGCTTACGAATAATCTGATTACGTTTTTTTTTTCCCGTCTCTGTCGCAGTATACAGTTACCTTTTTTTGTATCCGTTATGTAACACAGTTCTGTGTATTACACCACAGGCACGCATGTGTAGACGAACAAGCATTCCCACTCGAATTTACATCTATAGACCATTGAGAGTCTTCAGTGTACGTATGCATGTTTTGGGAATGTGGGAGGAAGCTGGCTAACCTGCGGATATTGCATACAAGCACAGGGCGAATAAGCAAACGCTACACAGGAGGGCCAAGATTTAAACATGGTGCCCCTCAACTGTGCTACTTCTCCATGCCCCCCATGCCTCCCTCCAAAAAAGAAAAAAGTAAAGCAATAAAGATGTGTGTCTCGAGATTGGTGCATCAGGAGCTGCATAATATGTATATTTTTTAATAGGAACGTGATGTTTTCACGACTCATTGTTAAAAATCCTCTGAATAAGATGGTCTATTCTGAAATCTTGGCTACACATCCAATCTCTGCTTTGCATATTCCCACACAAACACACATAGGAGGTTTGAAATTGTGTTTTGATCTCTGAACAACATTCTATACCTGCCTTTTGGGTGCGATGTGGTAGGAGGCCTTTGCAGCTCTCAGCAGTCGAGCAGTGAATCATGCTCAAAGACAAAAGGAAGAAAAAAAAAAAAGGAGCATCGTGAGTCATCCTTCAAAGGTGGTAACTTACTATTTAACTTTGTGTCTCCAGGCTCAACCTACAGAAGCGAACGCCCTCACTCTGAGTCTCCCCTCCGAATAATGCATGAATCACTGGAGACGGTAGAGACAATTGTATTGTGATCGCTGTCACTCACTTTCTTGTGGCTGTCACTCTCGAGTAATTTCACATCATTATATAATTGGACGTTATTGAAACCTTGGACACGCTTCTGTGCGCAACTGAAAGAACATCTTTTTTTTTTTGTGTGTGTGCCTAATGATGACGCATTCATGTATTTTATCAAGCAGTTATGTTGTGTGCAGTGCTTCGGCGGTCAACTTCTCAGATGACCACATAGTGGTCAGATAGCGGCAAAAGTCATGGCTCCTGCTGGATGCCTTAAGTGGAACACACACATACCGATTGTGGTTGTTATTAAAGTTTTTTTTACATCTTCATCGATTTTTAAAAGATGAAAGACCCTACACGTCAAGGTTGTGTTTTTTTTTCCTTCTTTCTGCTGACCAACGCAGTAAGCCACGCACAACCACATCCACATCCACACTGCTAATTGCAAGTCTCCCCAAAAGCAAGAGTCTGTGATGAGAGACAGCCTGAGAGACTGCTGCTGCAGCAGTGCATCATGACTGCATGCCGAAAAAGACAAAGACGAAGACAGTCTCGTAGCAGAAGAATAAATCGAAAAAGCAAAGTCAACTCTTAGCTTATATCGTAACGATATTGCAGTCGCAAAGTCTTCAACTTGTCACTTTCGTTATGGTGGATGACGAACTCCATGACCATTTCTTTCCCCCATTTATGTCCATGCTTCAGGGAGCTTCCAGATTAGCTACCGTTCTGTTTCACGTCACAATAACTGAGTCGGTGGCTCAGCCCAACTCGGTGTTGACCACACGCAAGGATGATGAATATTGAAAAGGTTTAACGTGAATGATTTTTACAATCCTCGCCACAAATTAATCACTCCGGATAATCTTTGAGAGACATCCCAAAAGTGGGACTTTAACTGACTTTGCTTGCTATGGAGGGAAAATTTGCATATGCATGTGCAACCCTTTTGGACAGGCCTTTATTGTGGTGATGTCATACGTTTACACAGCCACTTATTGCTGGATGGAGTTGATATGGATCTGGAAATCAATTAAAAAAATGCATAGGGTAAGGCAGTTGCAATGGAAAACTAGGGCTGACAGTGCCATGCTGTGATTATGGTTGCTCCGCCAACTTGATTTTATACTTCAAGTTATGCTGCATAACAGGGAGAATACTGTATGTGATGCAGGGCATTAATTAAATGAAAAGCATTCAGGTTTCTTTTCCATCAACGGTGCCGAATCGCTCTTGGAAAATAACTATTTATTCAGGTTTGGAATTTTCTTATTAGGAAGAAGCGTACGTGGTCGTAAAAACAGCTGAGTGGCAATGATACCCTTCGGATAGGCACCGCATACTGAGGAGAAAAAGACGCAGAGCATTCCTGCCAAGTATTAAATGAAAATTTCAGGATGAGTTAGCACATGAATTCAGTGAATGAGTCCTGGCGTGGCTGCCTTGGATCGGGGCGATTCTTAAACCTCATTTCATTAATGTTGATACGGTTGTCATATGACGTGCATACTGCTGTTTAGTTTTAAATTCCGCGTCACTTCTTTTCTAGATCTCAGTCAGCAGAAGTTTTGACATCTCCCATTTAGTGGACATGTTTATTCTGTTGTTGGTGACTGTTCATGTATGTGTCGCCAGTGACAAACAATACAGCCACATTTACTGGAGAAAGCGCCCGACAACTGACATCTGAATGTGACCAAAAGCCGACACTGAACTGCAATTGAGAAGAAAGACATTTTGTTGACTCTGCAATAATGACTATAATACATCACAGCCTATTATGGCAATCCCAAGAGACCGCACAAGTCCCCCCGACGCTCCCACACTGTTGTGAGCAGTAAAGGGGATACAACTTAGTGACTGCTGTAAAAAACATTGCAATATCACATTTATTATCTCCCAGAAAAAGTACAATAATTCAGTGTACACCAGCTCATATTGTTCTTTGGATGACTTTGAAGGAGACAGACTTTGCATTTTTTTCCCCCACAATTTAAATCAGTTCACATACGTCTTAACCTGTAGCTTGTTACACTCTGGTTCAAAAATTAGCATTCGGGGGTGGGGGGGGGGGGGGTTCTGGCCCATGCAAATGTCAAGTTGTGCTCTTGTTACCATGACGACAGGGGCAGAGTTTGGCAATGTGACGAAGAGATCTGTGTTACCAACTTCGTGAGTTTTTTTTTTTTTTTTTTTAAATTGACAATTGTGGAATAACTTCATTGGAAGGAGATGTTTCACCCTTTGGCGTCCAGACTGCAAATGTATGCCACTTATGCAAAGCCACTAGTGGCTGATTCAAGTCACACTGTAAAAACACACACACACACACACACACACACACACACACACACACATTTATGCATATTCTAACCTCTTTTCTCCCCATTTTCTTTCTTGTTCTCCAGGATCACATTTTGCCACCTTCCCTTTCAAAGTAAATGGCTTTACGTGGGAACAGAGCGCGGGAACACACACGTCGTCAACATCGAGTCCTTCATTTTGTCTGGATACGTCATCATGTGGAACAAAGCCATCGAATTGTGAGTCATGAAATCTCTGAATCAGATGTCGCTGATGTCACCGGTGAAAGATACATTTACCGGCTATGTGGAACATAGCATGTCCAGATGAAGGGATAATCATGTGATGTTGCTGATGTACTTGGCCAGTGTTGTCATCAACGGAAAAAAAATGTTTTACTCGATTAGGCATTCCTCATAGAGATATTCCGGAAATCACTTGTAGGTCAGAGTCACCGTGGCCTCACACTGAGTGAGACATTTATTACAACTGTCTTGTAGAGTAAAATGAGGAAGTCTTGACATTTTAGAACCCAAATGTCAGGGAGTACCTAACAGCCATGTATTGTATTTCATACACACGAAAGTTCAATTGTACTTTGATCTTGGTTTTTAATGATTGACATCACGCAAGCATGAGCCTAGAAAGCATGCTTTGAAGACGATACTGCAATGATAGTCATGAAAAGTAACGACAAGAGTTTTAAAGCCGAATAAACGTCTTGCAGATTTGTCAAGATGTTGTTTTTGTTGCCGCCAATGTAGATTGACATCTTATATCTCCATCAATTGCACCACTTTGGCTTTCATGCGTCTGATAACACTTTTTTTTTCCCCCAAATGTCACCCACCCACGTCACACTCTCTGGTGTTACGCTGACAAGCGCCTTGCTACCATGTCAGTCACTCGCCACTTCCACGCCGAGCCATCTTGTTCTCTTGTGACATCCCAAACTACAGTCAGCAGTCATAACACTGTACGTGTGTGTGTGTGTGTGTGTGTGTGTGTGTGTGTGTGTGTGTGTGTGTGTGTGTGTGTGTGTCTGTGTGGGAAGACTCTCACAGCAAAGGTCTCAGATGCCAAGTTTACGTTTGGGAGTCAATAGAGAAGACATCGTTCTTAAAAAAAAATACATCTGTGGGTTCTCAGAAAGAATATGTGAATGAAGGTCGTGTCGATTCAAGCATTTTTCACAATGCAGTTACATTCTGAAATATGTAATACGTTTGATTGATTCTCTACATTCCTGCCTCCCCTGAAGGACAAAACCTTCTAAGATGCATCAATTGTTAATGTAGTTAAAAATCCATATTAATATAGCACTGCGGACCTATTGTTTGAATTGAATATGGATTAAAAAACCTCCCAAACGTGCTCAGGGAAGAACTCAATGAGTCCACCAACCGGAACGTAACATTTACCCTCAGAATATCAATACAAACATGTGCGGCTTTTTTTGTCGGTTGTCATTTATTGCTTAAGTTTCCCTGCGAGAACTGCAGAGGACTTCACAGGCGGCACTAACAATGCTGCAGGGTTCAAAACAGATTGTAAAAGTCTGTGTCACATACTCAATGACAATCGACGCATAGGTAGCACCGAGGTGGATTTGTTGGACAAGCGTAGACTGCGTTGCTAAGGTGCATCAATCATTCGGCACTTTCAGTACAGCAAAATTTGTAACCAGCACAGTACAATGCAACTGCAGTAAATTCTTACATATATGCTGATTATTATTATTATTTTTGGCATGTACACTATAGCCATTATTTTACGAGGTCATGACTGATCCAATTCCTACAGTTAGGAAAAGGGTTGATTGAGAACAGTTCTAGATTATTTTCTCTCTACATGGATTTTGCTTTGTTGGTTAAAAATAAATAAATAAGGAAATGCATTCAGGACACGGCAATCCAATTTGCATACTGGCCTTCAAGGAGCGAAAGCTGTCCCTGTGGTGTAAACATTTTCTCACCGGCAAACTCCATTGTCTGGGGATTATGCAATTCTGAAATAATAACACATATGTTGTTTCAACTACCATAGCAATGAGATTGTCGTGCCTCTGTGTATTATGACCTATCAACAGCAAACGGACCTAAACCGGCCTAATTCAGCTAGCTTACTGCTAACACATGATGAGAAGTACCATAGATCAGCTAATGAATAGCATCTATGTGCCGCTTTAAACAACGAATATTTGAACATACGCTGCAGCAACTCATTGAATATTACAGCATCTTGCTGAATCACTTATAGTAGTGGTGAAACTCTTCCATATTGGGGTCTGCATGACTGCATTACACTGCCCCCCACTGGCCAAATCACACACAACGGAGCTGAAAGGAATTAATCATGATGCATTGTATGTCTGTATATATTATGTTTGTACAAAACTACGATCTTGTAGAGTGCTATTTTTCTTAAGAAAAACACGTTACAAAAAATGTTTTTTGTGGAGGTAGGCTGGAACGGATTAATGGGACTTTCATTCATTAAAATGGGGAAGGTGAGATAAAAGTGTTTTGAGTTACGAACTTGGTCAAGGAATGAATTAAGCTTGAATCTTAAGGCACCACTGTATTTTGATTATCTACAGTGCACCCTTACACATTTGCAGTTGTGCATTTCCAGATTCATGGATTTGTGAGTTTTCCGGGGTATTCTTTGCTATTTGCTGAAAAACTCACCGTTTTGCTATTTTTGTGCTCAGGTTAAGATTAAGGCTTTGCTTTCACATCATCTTGTGGCATCTTGAGGCCAAGAAACTAGGTTGAGGTTAGGGGAGGAGCTTCGATTAGTCAGGCCATTTGTACATGTCTCGTAAATATTCAACTCGCGTAATTGAAGAATGAGTATGTTTTTCTTTAACAAAAGCTCAGAATGGAATATAACCTGTCTGAAACAGAAATCCATCATTGCAAATACAACCTTTAGCGTGCCTCTTTTCACTGTCGCTCTTTCCCATTGTCTTTTTCTCTTTTCAGATCAACGAAAACACATCCAGGACCTGTAGTTCATTTGAGTGACAGCCCAAAGGATGAAGGCAAGGTAAGGCGGAAGATAAAATGAAGTAACACTGTTATTTTGACGTTATATGTGACGGATCTCGACTGATCTAACAATAACGCGGTAATACTTTTCCCCTGCCATCTCACATGCACGCACACGCACACGTCCACTCACACATTGTTCTCGGGAGGCTTAAGACAATATCTTTTGAGTTTTATTGTTTTAAGGTCAAGCCAAAGACAAATTAGTACAAAAAGTGTCAGGTGGCGAAAGCTGCAATAGAGGTCATTGACAAGCGCATTGATTGTCGCAATAGTTTTCATAGCCACTGGAAAAAAATCAAACGTGACAAGCTGCGAAGACATAAAAACAAGACACGCTCACAGCTGCCGCCTCTTGTTGCTCTGAGTGACATCCGGCGAAGTGTTGCACGCATGCCGCATTCAAGGGAAGACGAATCTTTTTGTGTTTGAAGCCGCGATGCAGGCACCTGTGATTTTTGCAAAGCACTGTTGTGTTTATGTGGCGAAAGTGATTCTAACAGAACGTTTGAACAGATTGAGAAAAGATTTCTGCTTTGTGTGCGCTCAAGCATCTGAGTGAATTTAATGACTCATCTTCAAGTGTGTTAAAATGCACCATAGAAATAATTCCAAGGTGATAATTCCAATTTGGGAAAACACAATCATGTCACAAGCTCTTTTTTTTTTTTCATTTTAATTCTGCATAATGCTCTCTGAAAATGGGCTCTGATACTGAATTTTGAATTACTATAAAGACCTCTTGGATGTGTTTTTCTAATCAAGAAATTACAGGCAATCAAGTGTTGCATATTAAGTCAGGCATTTGATTACTCACCCTGATAAACCCGCGATATTTCAGTACTTATTTTTGATGGAAATATAAATGGTTTTTCGGCTGCCAAAAAAGAAAAATGAAATTACCGATTAATATAATCACATACCAGCTTTGAACAGCGCAAGTCGTATTAAAGACTTGAAATGACTTGCTGTAGTTGCTAATTTCATGTAGATTTGAAGATTCTTACATTTTGAATTTGAAGACGACATTATGGGTTACCCCTCGCTTGGCGATTTGCATATGACTAACGTTACCGTATAGGAACTGCACTAAAAGAGCTCAGACGGCTGCTGACTGCACAATTTCTTCAAGGCGTCCTCCTTTTTCTTTCCCACCTTCCCTCATCTTCTTGATCTTCCAGTGTGAGATGTCACGCGTCTTTCTTCTCAGTAGGATGAACACGTTCCGCCCCTTTCTTTAGAGCTACCCTCCTCAAAAACCGCTTCCATCTAGGCTGCTGGAATTTTGTCAGCTCTGCGCGACTTTCATCCAGCGTTGCATGTGGGACCTGCGTGCATATTTTTAACCTTCGACGTTAGCTATAGTACGTGAGCTCAAAAGTACACACGCAGACTCTGAGCTGTGTTTTGCCATAGAAATCACAACGCAGAATGTACTGAGTATGATACAACGGGTAACAAAAAAACTGTGACAGTGTTGTCAATTTTACACTTACAAATGAGGGTAGTTTTTGCTTCACTGACTTGTAAGAAGCACACGTTAGTGTAGTGTAGTCGGTTTTTCTTCTTTAATTCAGATGTCTGTTTCTTGGTACTGTAATAATAGCTCGGGCAGAAAGTGGAACTGTGTCGAAAATTTGAATTACATTATTGCTTTCACAGCGCAAATTGACTTCTATTACTTGACATCAGCAGAAATCTTACAAGAATATGCAATGTGGCCTGAGCTATGGAGAAAAGAGGTTTTGAAAATAACGGTTGCCTGGCTACATATGCAATAACATGGTCAATAAGTGAAGGCTGTTCTCATTATGTGGCTAATTGATCGTCTTTCACCCTTTCTAGCTTCTTGTTGGGTTTGAGAGCGGGACAATAGTCCAGTGGGACCTTCGGGCCAAAAAGGCCGATTTCAGAATCTACTATGATGAGGTAAATTCATACAGTCTGCAAATACTGAACACATTGGTTTAAAACGCACTCTGAAAGAAGCCAAGATTTAATACAATGTGAATTCTTGGGAACATTTCGTGCACACAAACTCATTAGATTTCATTCAGTAAGGTGTCTATTTTTAGAAATGAACAATAATCAATGAGACACAGATTTCAGCAAGTGCGCAGTTTACAGATAGATGGATAGATCAATTAGCTTTAATGATACACCAAAATTAAGATCCGATTCGTTTCTCCATTTCTGAGCTATGGTTGAATGCACAATTCAAATTATTCAATCGGCAAATATCAGGTGTCCTCTGCAGATATTTGCAAAGGAAAACTGTCCCTGTGTTCACTTCAGTTCCCCGCAAACATGAATTTTGTGATTATATCTTTGAAGGTGGATTAACATGTTCACTGGTGGGGAAACTTTTTTTCAGCACTTATAAATATTCTCAGTCTTGCTGACTTAGCGATTTCCATCTCTGTTCTCAACAGGGTAGCCGAAATGCTCCCATACTGCTGACCTACAGAAAATCAGCATAGAGGAGCTGCAATTTACATGTTTTAGCAGTACTAGCACAAACTGATTATGGGGGTGGGGGCGTTACTTTTTCAATGCATACCGATACAAGTGCAAGTTAACTTGGTAAAAAATAGTCCTTGTACCATAATATTGTCATTTTAATAATTGCAATTACTCTGTCTCTCTCTCTCTCTCTCTCTCTCTCTC